GTGAAGATAACGGAAATGGGGAAAATCTAAAACAGGAGGGGAATGGATTGCTTAACACAACAAGGATCAAGTGGGAATTATCAAGGTACACGTGCAATTGAATTTGAGCGAGTAACATTTCGCGGTAACCATAGTGTCACTTACATGCCCTGGACGCCCTGTAACGCCTCAGAGCAACTATCGGCCTACCGGCCTCGTCCAGCAAGTTCCCTTCTGGCTCCCAGGTGGCTTCGTCGTCTGGGTACCCTTGCCACTTGACAAGGTACTGAGTCTGATGCCTTCGCTGGCGATCGTCAAGAATCTTCTCCACCATGTATCTGGTCTGACCGTGCAAGTCAGTGAACGGTGGCGGGGGTGGCTGCCGCCTGCCGGGAATAGTATTCTGCTCATACCGGCGCAGAGCAGTGACATTGAAGACAGGGTGGCACCGAATAGCGCTGGGTAGATCCAGCTGATAGGCGTTGGGTCCGATCTTCTTGATGATTGGGTAGGGCCCGAACCACTTAGGGCGTAGCTTCTGTGAAGGCTGATCCCGGGCTTCTGCGGTTGTTAGGAAATCCTTGTACACCAGCACCATGTCGCCAACCTTCAGGTTGCTGGGCACCCTTCCCCTGTCTGCATAATGAGCTTGTCTAGCCTGAGCGGCAATCATGGCGTCCTTTGCCAACTTGACGGCATCCGCCCGATCCTGGATCCAGTCTGGGGCACTCCCTCCTCCCCTCCGTGCCAGGAAATCTGGTGGGGACTTGGGATTAAGTCCATAATTTAGATAAAACGGCGTGCTAGAAGTGGAAGACTGATATGAACTATTAATTACAAATTCGCAAAGAGGCAGAAGCTTGTCCCAATTATCTTGTTTGTGGTTAACAAACGCTCTAAGCACATCCTCAATTACTCTATTCATTCTCTCAGTCTGCCCATCGGTCTGTGGGTGATTGGCAGTACTAAACGACAAGGTGGTACCTAATTGATGAAACAATTCCCGGAAAAATTCAGAAGTAAATCTTGGGTCCCGATCACAAACAATAGTGGAACTCAAACCGTGTAATCTAAACACATTCTGGAGATACAAATCAGCAGAACCCTTAGCGTCAATTTTGGAAGTCGTGGGGACTAAATGGACACATTTTGTAAGCCGGTCAACAAAATAATGTATAAATTGCATCAAAGCCCTGAGGGGTCTGGGGTAAGCCAACGATAAAGTCCATGGAAATATCTTTCCAGGGGGTGTCTGGTACTGGGAGCGATTGCAGCAAACTGGATCTAGGCAACCCACCCTTAGTGCGCTGACATATGCCGCAAGACTTAACAAATTTCTTCAAGTCAAGGCCCATCTTAGGCCAATAGAAGAATTGACGAAGCCGGAAATATGTACGATCCCGTCCCTGATGGCCTGCCGTAACACAGTCGTGGTACTCCTGCTGGGGTGCTGGTAGGATGGGTGGGCAATCCTTTTCCTCAACTACATTGCCAATTGCTGACCCGCGCAGATCAGGGCGGCGGGATAACGCATCAGCCATATTTTCCTTGCCGGGTTTGTGATTAACTGTGAAGTCATAGTCTGCAAGAAATTCAACCCATCTAGCTTCGCGCTTAGTGAGATTGGCTTTTGTGCTCAAGTAGACTACGGCCATGCTGTCACTGAACACTTCAAAATGCTGGAATAGATAAATTCTCCAGGATCGCAGTGCAAACACCACCGCCAGGGTTTCGCGTTCTGCAGCAGTGTAATTTCGCTCCGCTTGTGACAGCTTACGACTGGCATATGCCACAGGATGCCAAGCACTATCGCTTTCCCCCTGTTGGAGAAGGACGACTGCTATTGCAAAATCACTTGCGTCTGTTGCAACTCTGAAAGGCTTCTGCACGTTTGCTAGTTTCAACAGCGGTGCACTCAACAAGGCCTGTCTCAGGGATTCGAATGCATGCTGACGGGGGCCACTCCATTCGAACCTGGCATGTTTGCCAGTGATCTCCTCTAATGGCCGCGATATAGTAGAGTAGTGCTCAATAAATCTTCTAAAGTAGTTCGCAAAACCAAGGAACTGTCTCACCTCCGTAACTGTCGTCGGTGGCTGCCATTCCCTCACTGCTTTAAGCTTCTTTGGATCTGGAGCGATACATTCACCGTCGATGCGATGCCCTAGAAACAGAACATCCTTGACACCAAACTCACATTTCGACTGCTTACAGAATAGCCTATTTTTCCGGAGCGTCTCAAGAACTGTCTGGATATGTTCAAGATGATCTTGCCAGGATTTGACACTACCACAAACCGCCGTAAGTACGGTTGGAGAATACTGTTCATCAGTGACTGAAACGTGGCAGGGGCGTTAGTTAATCCAAAGCCCATGACCCGGAACTGGAAATGACCGAAGGGAGTATTGATAGCCGTCTTAGGTACATCTTCCTGACGGATCCTAAGCTGATTGTATCCCGAGCGTAAATCCAGCTTACTGAAGTATGAGCTAAATGGTATCAAACAGGTCATCAATGTTTGGGAGGCAAGCTTTGTTTTTGATGGTGATCCTGTTCAAATTCCGCCAATCACAAACCATGCGCAATGAGCCATCAGACTTTTTAACGAAAAAGACTGGGGCACCGTATGGTGACTTGCTGGGTTCGATGAAGCCCTTGCGGAGGAGTTCCGTGAGCTGGGCTTGCAATTCGTCCATCTCGGGTTTGGGGAGACGGTAGGCAGCCCGTGATGGAGGAACGGCACCCTCCTCAGTCACAATCTCATGGTCGACATCCCTCTCTGGCGGAAGCTCGGTCGGCAGGTCGTCTGGAAAGATGTCCGAGTACCGCCGCAGAAGGTTAGCCAGCTGCTCTTGATGATCTGGGTGTTGTCTGGCGGCTGATGGCTTGCTGTCCTCCTCCTCGTCGTCAGTAGCGTTGACCCACGCCAGGATTCCCTGCGCGCCTTTCCTCAACTCGCGGCGAGCCTGAGAACCAGATATGAGCATGCTCTCAATTGGCGGCGACTCCTGACGCTCCGTGTCACTATTTTGGCCGGAAGGGGGTTTAGCAACGAGCGGCTCTCCGTTCAGTTTGACTTCGTTGATCTGAAAGTTGATATCCGGATTGTGTCTGGTCAGCCATGGCTTGCCCAGGATAGCATCATAGCGGCTCAACGGAAAAACTGTGAAAGATTGGGTGTCGCTGAAGTCTTTCACGATAACCTTTACCGGACCGGTCCTCTGCAGTCCCGATGATGTCGATGAGCCATCAGCCAGGGTTACCTTCAGTGTTTCGTCCTTGCTCTCCGTAACAAGGCCGTTTCTTTGCACGAAAGCTTCCGATATGAAGTCGTGCGTCGATCCCGAGTCAATAAGCATAATTGCCCGGCGGCCGTTGATCCTGCCCTCAACACGGAGAAGGTCATGCTCCAAAGGAAGCTTCGTGTCCTGTACTGCGATATCAACGTTGCTGACATGGGATTCCTGTTCGGCAACATCTTCCGAATCAGCTTGCAGCGTCGGTTCTTCCAGCTCAGTACGCTGTAACGGTTGCGTATGTCAACCGGGTAACCGTTGGGTGCTTTCTGCTTGGTCGCCAGCGAGCGCACGCCATTTTTCACTGGCGACCAGCGTTTGGGTGTTGATTGCTGGGACAATCCCGAGCTACATGTAGGTGACCTGGCTTCCGACAAGCAAAGCATCCACCCTGCCGACTCAGGTGACGCCTCTCCTCCGGTGTTAGCCTCCTTCGGTGCTGAATCGGGTTCGGCTGTTGGTCCGCCGTTTGCGCTGACCTGATCGCGTGGCTCAGATCAGTGGGGTGCTCTCGCAGCACCCGGGTCTTGACAGATGGGTGCAGTCCATTTACGAACAGCAGTCCTCGGGTCAGCTCGTCGATCTCAGGCACTTGTAGGCTTAGGCGCGAGAACACGGTGACATAGCTCTTGCGCAAGGAGGGGGCTAATCTTCTCGCAGAAAAGGGGGAAAAGGGGAGAAAAAGGGGGAAAAAGAGGGGGAAAAGAAGAGCGGGAAATTGAAAAAGAGGGGGTAAAGAATGGCGGGAAAAGGAAAAAGAGGGGGAAAAGGATGGCGGGAAGCATCCACCGTTTGAATGTGCATACATCTAAAGTGAGGCTATTTCCAGGCTCTGCACAAGTACACGTCCACCACGGCCTCTCGCAGCCTCCTCCTCTTCCTCCCTCCCCCCCCCCCCCCATCACACACAATGTGCCGATTATCCTCCAATGTCAACTATCCAAATGATTAATTATCCAAAATAATTGCTTGCATTTAATTGAGGGGTAGAAGATGAGTTTCAAGTTGTTGATTTTCGTCGCTCGGGGCACCATTGAAGCGATTCACAAGATGTATTAAAACAGGTTTTAGTCAAAATGTGTAATAATAGTGTCATTAATTTAGAGGAGCATGAGTGCACCTAGTTCCTGTTTCACTGCTGAAGAGAACGAAAATGATGAAAACATGCTGGAATATGCATGATTTAGATAGATGTGTGACTGCTCTCTTATCCGAACATTCTTCTCATCTGAACCCCCTGGAGACAGCCCGCGTCCCGAGGGGTGGGGATAATTGGCACTCTCCTGTACATCAAATTCTATTCTTAAATTATATACATATTGTAGAGCTCTTTCTGCTGCCGGGAATGAGAAAACACATCCCAGGTAAGGATACGCCCCTTAAGGAAACACAGCTGGTGGATTCCAACAGTCAGGGGCGTCGCACACGGTACGGTCACTACGGTATTGACCGTACCACTTTTTGCCCCAGATACCCGTGAGTCAACAAAATACACTGATCTGGGATCTAAAATTCCAAAATTTTCGGCTCAGCCAACACTCCCCCACGAGTCAATTGTACTTCAGATGGCTGACCGTACCACACTAAAAAACATTCCGACGCCCCTGACAGTAGTATGAAACTCATACACAATCAATTAGAAATACTTTGGAGAATAAACCTTTGTTGGTGAAACAAAGTTGGGCGAGAGTATGATGTTCAAGTAAAACAATACTAAAATGCCGTAACGTGAAGAAAGGAACGTAGCGCACAAGTTAATGAAGATAAATTCACATACAGAACACAATATGCCCAGATGTGAAATTTAAGTCAAGATTAGCAGAATATACACACATGCAAACACACACACAAGCGTGTGCACACAAACGTAAACACACACACATATGCACACACACGCACGCACGCACGCACGCACGCACGCACGCACGCACGCACGCACACACACACACACACACACTGTTGGCTGCTATAATGCGGTGGCAGCCTAGACAGAGGAAACAAAGTTTACACAAACAAATTCCTACTCTTTCTCTTTCTTTGTCTTCTTCTTCTTCCTTCTCATATTCAGTTCAAGGCAGGCTCTTCTATTTTTTTTGCTTCGGCCAACCTCGTTTTGGGATCTGACCCACTTTATTGGGGCAGTACAGGTACCCTGAACCTGAGAGTGTCCTTCTGATGTCATCGCTCTCCTACATTTTCTGCACGTCTATATTATTCTTCCTACGAAGACAGCAGAAGGACAGAAACAAAGACATCCACACCATTTTTAAGACTGCATCTTCCAAAGAACACATCAAAAAGCAAATTCTACACGCCAAGCATCGGTTCACGCCGTAACAAATCTCCACGCCATGAAAAATTCGATCGAATGCCTGGTGGGAGATGCTTTTTAAAAGGCTTGCATACACTTTTCACAAAAGACACCGGATTCGTACAAGAATATGTCAACTTCTAATCAAGGACTGTAATAAGTTCTGCCTTACGTATTAGAGGGGAAGTCTGCTGAATTTTTTTAATTTCAGGACCCATAGAGTTTGGGGCGCTGAGTCGAATGTTCTTTTCCGAGGAGGCTGCGGTCCATGGTTCGTCAGATACGCCCAATCGAAAATGAGCGAAAGCGAGCACGCAGTCTACCTGATCCAGGTGATAAGGTCACAGTGTGCAGCCAGGTAGCCACACCATCTATTTGTGTGCAAAATGGCCAATATTCGAAACGCGTTCGATTTGAGAACCATCTGTCGCAGCTTCTTCGTACCAAGAGCATTCGACTCACTGTTACAAGCCCTACGTACCCTGTGATTTTCAGCTCGGCAAAATTTGAGGATACCCCGTTTTTAGCCGTTTCCGAGTTGGACTTTTTACATCCGCTGGCTTCTGCGTGCATGCCATAGTCAACAAACATACGGAACATTACACTACAGTACTGCCGGGCGCCGAAGAACGGGGTCAGGGTTCTAGCCTAGCCCGTTCTTATTTTTGGCGAACACAGCAGTTTCGTTCATATTCGATGGTACAGTCTTACATGTACATTTATGCAGAGTTATACGTCTGAGTGTACATCATATTCATATTGTACATCACGTTTCTACCTAGACCGTTCTTAAAAAATAGCAAAATCATAGCCTGGCCGTTCATCGGCGGTCCGTTCTTCGGCGCCCGGCAGTACTGTAGTAGTAGTAGTACATGACTACACCCGCACTGCTGTGCTAGCGCTACGCGAGTCGTGTGGTAGATCTAAAATTAATGTACAAGAGACTAGTCAATACACGGACGTGTCATGTACTGCACCCGGCATGTAGTTAGAGAAGGTGTGCTCCTCCGGGCCGGTGATTGTGCTTTGAGAAGGAAATATTTTAGTTTTCCGCTTGGAATAGTCCAGCCTCATTTATGCTACAACGATGAGTCCACAACCGTGACAAGCGACAAAACCGCGAACAGCTCCCGGACCTAAAACGTTCAGTTGTGATCCTTGAATCGAAGAGTCGTGTCCGTGGTTCCAAGAACCTGCATTGTATATCCAATCGAGCAGCGTCCGAGCTATGTTTGCACCAAAAATCGTGAAATTTTCCACTGTATCATGGAAATGCCACACCCTACAGTCCCGCTGTTACCATATTTTACCGGTATAAGTCGACTTATTGAATTGAATTCAGTGCAAACAGGAATTTCGGATAATTGACTGTTTGGACAGTTGACATTCGGATAATCGGCATTCTACTGTAATCCTAGTGCATGCAATGAAACATACTTGACTGTTGGGAGTCTTGCTGCGTCAGTGCAAATTGGCAGTTAATGCTAGAAGCTGCAGTGAACAACATCACAAATAGAAAATAAAGAAAAGCAAATACAACTGAACTTTGATACTGGAAATTACAGATCTGCTGCCCGCATCCACATGTCCATATTCTACATGTGCGATTGATCCTGCAAGATCTTCACTGCCCGTCTAATTGAGGATGGCACCCCGAATAGAGCGGACCGCTTCTAAACCAATCAAAGACCCAGGTTGTTATACTCCAGCAACCGGGCAAATACCTGTCACCCATCCATGACCCATCAGCCCATCTCCTTATGCTCACATTTTGGTGTAGTAGTTGAGCACCTGTCCTTCCTTCATCAAGTGGATATCCTAAGCATGTGACTTACCGCTGGTATATCTCTGCACATCCATCTTGACTGGTTGTCAAGTCCCTTTCCGGAGAGGTAGAGTGGATGGTAGGGTCAGTGCAGTCCTGGCCACGCCATGAGAAAGAAGACATTTTCCCATCAGGAGAAGGCCAACATCCTCCTTCTGGGTAGTGCCTTGATACCTGCAGTGCAGTGCAGTAACATTAAACTGCAATTGAAACTGTCTCCATGCCATTGTTAAGCCCAGTTCACATTCGACGGGGCGCAACGGGACGCGACATAAGGATCGACGGGAAACGCCGGGACGGTCACCCCGTCACGGACTGTGCCTTATGACTCGCACCATTCGCTGTTGAACATCGCAAAGACTGGAGCATGTCGTGTCGTACGAATTGTACAAGATTTTACAGCTCACCCCAGCCGTCACAGGCCCTTACGTCCCGTACCGTCAGCGTTGCGTCGAAAGAGAACTAGGCTTTAGAAAGATTACGTGTTGGTATGTGCTCCTACTTACACACAAATATACAAAAGGTATATAAAGAGAAAGCATGATCCACCCCATCATTGACACCAACAGCCCGGCACAAGAGCAGCAGCACCTGCATTCTGTTAACCCAAAGTTCATCTGCGAAGATACTCACAGAGTCGTCTCCTTTACTGTGCCCGACCTTGGAAGAAAACAACACAGCAACGTAGTGTTGGTTTCGGTGAGGGCTTCTACGTTCACATGAACACACAGAAAAGCACAATATATTTCCAAACAGACGTCAACTAGTATAACCAAACAGCAACGACAACACCACAAAGACCTAACAGTCTCTTGAGCACAAAGTGTCTGGGATAAAAAAAAAGAGCAGAAGTTCACCATCGACACTGGTATTATAAAACTTTCTACAACTGCTGCAGAGGCAGCAGCAGGGTTCTAGTGCCCGGACCCAAAGCTCATCTGAGAATTTTCGCCATTGATACAAAGCAACGACCATGGTAGCAGCAGAGAGTAACAGCAGCAGCCGTTTGAGCAGCAGTATCAGCAGTCTCCAGCTTCAAGGGAGTGACCTAGCAAATTTTACAGTAACATGAAAAGTGCAACTGCACTCTTTCCGGCACCAAATATGCCATGCTGTCCCCCGCTGCAAAATAGAGGACAACTCTCAACTGTCGCCAACACCTTGGCCCAGAGGGAGTCTTTCCTTCGACATTCGCCCCGGCCAAAGAAGGTCAAAACCCAAGTGGTGTAATCATGTATCTGCTTCTCCTATCGAGACACTAGCAAGGCTTGTATAGGCATGATAAATTGATAATACTGTATGCATATAACAAAGGCAAACGCACAAACTCACGTCCATGCACATGTGCACGGACGGTGTCGTTGGCGTACACACACACACACGCGCGCGCCCACGCCCGCGCATGCACAGGACAAAGGCATGTGCAAAGGAGCATGCTCATAAAAGCACAGGACAGGCACACGACTGATCTACGGATGTATCACGACATTGAAGGGACGGAGCTTGCAGCAAGCCTTCACCCTCTGGAGATTCCTGAAATACATAAATACATGTCAGCAGTAAATAGTTGCAGCATAAACATTTCCACGGGGACTGTGCAGCTTCACTAACCTTAACTTCAGTCTCCCCAGAATGCAGAAATCAGACAACGGCTACGAAGAGGTGCAGGAAATTTGAACAACTGTTTCAAAAGCAGTCCTCCAAGCCTTCTGCACCAACAGGTGATTCAGTTCGTGCTCTTATACCATCCTGGCAGGTAGAGACATTTTCTAATAACACGAAGAGCACAATCATCAAGGTGGGCAAATCCTCAAGAGAGAGTGCACCCTAACTTACACTACAAATCATTTACTGGACACTACTGGACAGAGCGTCCAGTCCATTCAGTCCAGGGGAGAAGAGGCAAAGGCATAGGGCTCCTGAGAAGATGAAAGGGCAACACATTATCATTACTACATTAATTTTATTATTGGGGGCAGACGTCTTCTCTGTAAAATATGAGGACGAAAGGCACATCAGTACTCACATCCCTGCTCATATCACTGCTCATCCCTGTCCTCTACGAGGGCAATGCATTTAGGGCTGAAACAAGTATACAGATAACTCGCAAACCGATCGTTTTAAGAGCGCAATCGATAATCGCTAGTGTTCAAAGCGAATGCAAACGATTTTTTATGCATGCATACCAGTGGCAGTATTCTAGCCCTTGCACTCCATCCAATTGTGGATACGAGTGCAATCGTGTACTTTCAAGCGCAGTAATATTGATGCGTGGCTATGAAAGAGATCGGGAGTCAAGACGGTATCTTTTCGATTGATTCGTTGCGGAAGTTGGTGATAAGAGCTTCAAGCCAAAGGGTGACGACAAGCCTGATTCTTCGTTCTAGAAACAACAACATGAACTCCTCTAGTTCATATTGATAAAGCCTAGTTCAAATTCGACGGGACGCGGCGTAAGGATCGATGGGAAGCTACAGGACGGTCTGACGGCGTCCAATGTGAACACCAGGAACGGGAACGCAACCATACTACCGTACGGATCGGGAAGCGACGGGAAGTGTTGGATCAGTTCAACTTTTCATACCGTAGACGGGCATAGACGGAGACGCAAGCGTACAAAACGGCTGCATTTTGAATGAGAACAGGAGGCGGCGTCGTGCGCCATCCACTCCCGATTCGTACTAGGAAATTTTTAGGATTTCGAACACTGCGCTTCCCATGATAACTCGCAGAATGGCCAACACGACTTGAGTTGAATTTTAGCAAGATAAGATCTCATGTCACTTATGGTATTTAGGGATAGTTTAGGAGAATGACAGATGAACTGTTTTATCATTTCCTAGGGCTACTATTCGAATGGCACAACTTTCAGGGCTACTTTTGTCTCCATGAAAAACTAGTATTGTGAATTTGATTTCGCTTCATTCAAGGAGAAATAATTGAAAAGAAGTCCCGAAAAACAAGAAATTAGGTCCGAAAGTCACCCCGTCACGGACTGTGCCTTATGACTCGCGCCGTTCGCTGGAGAACATCGCAACGACTGCAGCATGTTGTGTCGTACGAATCGTAAAAGATTTTACAGCTCACCCCAGCCGTCCCGACAGGCCCTTACGTCCTGTACCGTCAGTGTTACGTCGAATGTGAACTAGGCTTTAGACCAGTCAGATGTCTACAGGTGTCGACACAATTGTCTGAAATGTTTACAGAATACCAAACACTGAGCGGTAGCCTGGGTATATTTAGAGTGTTTGACTGGTGGCCACAGCTAATGTTGCAAAGGCATCATGGAATTTCTTCATAGTCTTGTGTTCGAGGTGCACGACTACAGCCGGAAAGAATCTATAATTATGAACCAACAATTATAATTGATCTCAATGTCTCAGTACTCATACTCCTTGTCAGTTTTGTGCTAGCCTTGTGCACGTCTGACTATTCGAAATCTGGTTTAGTTGGAGGACTCGATTGCATAACTTGTGCCCACATTTTTCTATGTTACAATGATATTCATCGCTAAAGAGATTGGTTGATCGCTTGGAGTTATTGAATGATCGTTTCAGCCCTAATTTATTTTCACCCTGACCACAGCACTAGGCGAAATTCTCTGACACGGCCTTTACCTGCATCCACTGCTCTTTCGCATCACGACGAAGGACATGCAGGGGTTCTCTCTGAGCAGAGGAAAGTAGCCATCGCCACCACCACCATCGCCATTCACCGACAATACTAGAGAGACTATTTTCCCCGTCGTGGGTACTTCCAATAAAGTAATTCCACTTACATAGGTACCGTCAGCGGCGCCACCATGTTCCCAACAGTGTATTGCTATCGTGGGTACTTCCACGGGCAATAAATTCGGCTCGTGCTGTCACTCGCAAGCCATCAAATAATTAATTGCTATCCCTCCCTTGCGCGAATTGCCTCTGCAAACAAAATTATTTCAATGATTGGATTCAGTTCTTTTCGCTCGTTCACGCGTGGTACATGGTCGCGTGCGCCCCATCTACGCCCATACATTGTTTCATCTTGTTTCATCTTGTTTCATTCGCGGCCCATCTACGCCCGTACTTCGAGTTTCATTTGGTTTCATCTTGTTTCATCTTGTTTCATCTTGTTTCATTTTGTTTCATTTTGTTTCATTTCGTTTCATCTCGGCCCCATCTGCGCCCGTACTTGGCGTTTCATCTTGTTTCATCTCGTTTCATCTCGTTTCATCTTGTTTCATCTGTTTCATCTGGGGGGAAGACGGGCCCGTCAACCTGCGCTGAGTGCTGCCTGACAGCGAAGAGATCCAGTCGCACCCGCTCTTGATGATGCAACGGACCGTACACCTTGGCGAGGGCTTCACGCAGCGCTGGCCACGTCGAGAACTCCACACCCGTATCCAACGATGCGATGAGCCATAGCTTGGCGTTGCCGCTCAGGAAGCCCGCTGCGTAATCCACCATCACCGATGAGTCGGTGATTCCCAGTGACCGAATCGCCAGCTCAATGGAGAAAGCCCACTCCTTGAACTGCGAGGGCTTGCCATCGAAGATCGGCGGCTCCTTAGCGTGCCGAGGCTTCCCGGACGAATGAGCGGGCGGCACAGGGAGCGGTTGTTGTCGGTTGCTCAGACGGGCGCTGACTTGGCGACTGGCTTCACGGACCTCGCTGGCCAACCTGAATAGCAACACAGAAAGAACAAGGATCGCCACGACAATGGCGAGCTCCAAGAACACCATGTTAACCATCCTCCGCTACCAGTGTAACTGTTTGAAGGTATTCTTGGAATAGACAATGCTTGCTCAAGGCAACACAACTGATATAGGGCACTTCGTGCCCTAAGGTGATAACGCGAGTGCAGACAGGATAGGGAAAGGTGCAAGATACAGAGCTAGAGGGCAGATAAGGTTAGCGCTAACAGAGAACTGTTACATTATCCGCCAGCACCTAGAGAAAGTAGTCACAGAAGTAAATGCAAGTATGTATGGGAGCCGTGTGGTTTCCGTCCAGCACTGCACTATCTGGTGCATACATGGCGATACAGGATGTGTGCACGCATGCCGGCGCCGACTTGCACAAGTCACACGTTTTCACCGTCACTGCTTCTACCAGTGTGCGCGCAGTTCACTCGATTTTTTCGTCTACCACCAGGAAATCGCCGTGGGCTGGTTTCTGTGATCATTTTCCTTCTTTGAAGAAGGGCTGAGGCTTCCTGCAGCTTCATCTGCGAAAAGAATTCGGGTGGACACACCCATTCCCATAGCGCTGCATATCACATCCGAACCAGTTCCGTTATTTTTACAACGTTTCGGCACTTGGCCATCGTCAGGTAATAACAATGAATACCGTGGAAGCCACACAAGAGCAGTATATACACGGTATTCATTGTTATTACCTGACGATGGCCAAGTGCCGAAACGTTGTAAAAATAACGGAACTGGTTCGGATGTGATATGCAGCGCTATGGGAATGGGTGTGTCCACCCGAATTCTTTTCGCATTTTCCTTCTACGGCGATAAAGCGCGAGCCTCAATGTTGTAGAATCCTTTTGGTTTAGGCTAATTCGAGGCCGCTGAACACGAAAATCGGGTGTTCCTCGCGAAGCCGAGTACGGATCTGGTCGAAATTAGTACTTCGAAGTGCACCCGCGCCAAGCGCGGAGGCATTATTTTTGGAAGCATGGCATGTGTAGCACCATTGGAAAGGTAATGACCTCAGCTACCTAATAATAGCATCGACACGGCCGAAAAGGCCGCGGGAGAAGATACTCGGGCCGCGAACTGCATCTCGAACTGCAGCCACGAGGCGCCCATTCACTTTGTACACGCGAGCTGTGACTGCACTTTTCGCTTTTCAGTGACCGGAACTGAACTCCCTACCCAAAGGCTGACCGCCTATAGGGCTTGAAAGTGCTACGTCACAGCATAGCAACAATTTCAAAAATTCAAAAATTGGATCCACTTGGATCCAGTTTTCAAGTATGGATCCAAGCACATTTCAAGCCGTCTTACTCTCGGCAAGGTGATGTAACCAGTGAAACTGACTGATTTGGCTACTGGGGGCGGGGTTACAACTGGTGGCGAAATAAAAGTCACCCCTGCATACGACATGAGTGGGTTGCTATGCACCCACATACTGAGGCAATAGCAAAGTCACACCTTAGTGGATCCAAAATAGAAATCTGATGTCAACTTAGTACTCCCTGGCCGTTTTTGACGTCATCACTTTCAAGCCCTATTGTGTGGTCCGTCGCATTAAAGGATGATGGTACAAGAGAGTACAGATATTCAAATCGGCCCAGCTTCAGTTGAAGTGCGCCAAGTATAAACTAATTTAGAAAAGCGATCCTGTCAGCTTTTCTATTATTGTGTTCACATGGCAGAAAAAACGACACCGCTATGCTACGTAAGTTTCTACGTAAGGTGCTCGGTACTTCACTTAGGCTACGTTAGTTTCTACGTAAGGTGCTCGGTATACCGGTATTAGATCTACCAACGGGTGGTAGCCGCGTGCTGTGCACGTGCACGGCAGACATTGTGTTGCATGCCGTGCAGTCCGTTTTCGGATGTGCATGCGCGAGGAACTAATTCTTTGGAACTGCTTCTTGCATGAGCTGTTTCGGATATTTCGTGTCCTGGCTTATTTCGGTTCGGCTCTGCTGAGACCTCTTTTCACGGAATATTACTCAATGACAGGTGAGTTGACCAGTTCCCTTTGATTCATTTGCTTGTGTTGACTCTTTCATTTACGAAAAGTGTGCTGATTTTAGGTGGAATACAATAAAATAATAATGGAAAAGCTGACAGGATCTCTTTTCTAAATTTAGCTTTTCTGCTGTCGAGGCCTCCTTTTACGGAATACTCAATGACAGGTGATCTCTGAGTTGATCAGTTTCCTTCAAATCATTTGCTTATGCTCACCCTTTCATTTACGGAAACGTGTGCTGATTTTATTCGGATTTAATAGATCCATTCGTATCTCTTTGCACTTGCCAACAGTGTGCGAAGAACGCGAGTTCACCTTCTTGACGGTAAGGCTTATGTTGCTGCTGAGGCTTAGATGTGTTGTCGAAATACTCATGTTCATTGTACATTGGTACGTTACAAGTAAGGCACTGGTCATGATTGCTTCCGGCATTCCGTGCTCCGATCATGGGGTAGAATCTGAATTTTGCAGTGGCATAGCATCGTTGGCAGTTCCCAATCTGGAGGCGAAGGTTCAAGGACGCATTGGCCGAGTACTAACGTTAGTATGCAAAATAAATTCGCATATCAGGGAAAATCTCCATTATGGAGAGGTTCATGCATTCAGTGACTTGTTTGCTTCATACGAAACAAGCCAATGGGTGCAGTCTCGTGAAAATCTCGTACGATTGGATTTGTTTACTCGAGTCTGGGCTGTTTGATTTGTGAGTACCGCCGAGATTGCACTGCCCCAAATAAAGTTGCGTGCCGGTAGAGCAAGAATTACGATCTGCAATCTGTTGTACCTGCAAGAATGTGCTGTACATGTATCGTATTTTCTCTGTTGTTGTTTCAGTTGCCGTCATGTTGCTAAAGAAAGGTTCAGTGACTCATTTGTTTCATAAAAGACGAGTCAATGGTTTGGTCTGGCTTAGAATCTTTCGCTGTAGAAGAAATCTATTCGTGTCTCTATTGCAGTATTGGAGAAATAATTGTATTCACTCGTTATAAAAATAGGGTTAAGACAAACTCACAGAGCAAATGCCATCGGTCCCTTGATGTTCGTCCTAAAGAGGTTTGACTGGATATCATTCATACTCCCCCAAAGTCGTGTAACATGTTATTATTATGGAGTGCCTTGTTTATCTCTCAGTACCTCCAACCATATATCCTTGCCCCTTATATCCTCAGGATCAGTGTAGTTGTTGGAACGAGGTGTCGGACTCAGCAATGTATTTGTTTACATTTTAATACATCTTTATTGTTCCTACTTTGCTGTGTTGTTTTAGATAATCGTGGACTTGTAACACTTTGAAGTCATTGAACTGCTTCCAAAAGTTTTACCGACATCAACAGGATTACGATTTCACTACAATATGATGCCGGATGACCTTATCACGACAACCCATGACTACAATTATAAACACAGAATCAACAAAAACATCTGCGGCGCGCACCTGGTTACAATTCTCATGTAAATGTGATTTAGGGTGTGGACATCTGAATTTTCTGAAAGACAAGACAATTTTATGACAGAGTCATGGAATTCTGCAACATCCACAGAATGACCTGCGTATAAAAAAAAGTATCACCGCCACTACTCATATGATTCCCCGGCAGAAGAACATGAATACATGTATGCAAGACTAGTTCCATTTTCTGCAAGAAAAGGCTTGCACATCAATGCGTATAATACAGCGAGTTGTTCGTCCAGCAACTAACTTTGAGTCTTTCTTCAACACTTCGTAGAGCAGCCGCGCAAGGCCTTTCCTTCACGTTAGGGTAGCGATCCTTCCTAGATGCTATCGCCATTCATGGGGCTGTTAAGTGTGACGTCACGGCCCCTTCGATACGCATAGCAACGGAGAGCACTGGGGACAAACAAAAGTCGCGTCCTCTGGATGGAACCAGTTGTGAAGGGCAACAGCATCTAAATGACTGGAGAGAGAGCAGTTTTTCTTTGCTTTTTCGTCAAGCGATTGTTGTCGCTCTTTACTCCTTGTTCTTTCCTCTACAAATCTCCTGTAGTCGTCGAGGGCCTTCATAATGGCTGTGAAATTGGCTGCCCACTGTAAAACTCCGTGTT